CCGCAGCTTGTGTGTGAAGCGGCAGTCCGATTTGGCAAAGAAAGCGCTGGGGAAGGGGGGTGTTGGCGGGGAGTGAGGATTACAAGGAGTTAGTAACTTTTAGGTTTTTCCATCTTCTACCTCCCCACTTCCCCCCAATCCCAGCAGAGGCTCAGAATCTTAAACTCCAAAAACGCAAGATGTAGACAACAATGTTTTACCTTAGGGTTTTCCTTAGGGGACACATCCTACTGGGATGGATCCTCCAGCCCATTTCTCTCTTGGAGCCTTTTAATACTTGGTATAGAAACCACTTTCGCCTACCTCCAGAGTTTGAAACTCCTAGAAGGAGCCTTCACTAAGTCTTAAGGACCTCCAAACACTGACACCGGGTCCCACCCTGAAGAGGGAAAAGAAAAATCTTTAATTCTCGTAGACCCAGTAGCAGGATGAACCGAAGACACCCCCCCCCCAACATGAGTGTGGACTTCATAAATTCTTTGCAAAAGAAGAGGAGGTACAGAGACGGGTAAAGGGGGAAGAGGAGAGAAAAAAATAGGGCGAGAAAAGCCAGAACACAGGAATAAAGGAGCGAGTATTGGTCTGGAAAAGGCTGCTGGATGGGTTTGTGTGCGATAGATGGCTGTATACTGGTTTAGGAGTGCCCAGGGCTCTGCTCGCTCCTCAGTGACCCCTTCTGGTCAATAACTAGAAGTGCATTTGTTGGCTTTTAAAGGGAGTAGACGGGCCAGGAGTTGAGCTGGGCTTGGGATTGGGAGATATGAGGAAACAGAAAGGTAAATTGGGGAGTGAACTTTCCACTGCTCGCTCCCTGATCCATTGCATTCAAAATCCCAATTCTTAGACTGCCTTTAGTCATTACCCTCCCTTAGTTTGCTGTCACTTTTAAATGCCAGAGAGCTGGCTCCTTTCTTAGCCTTGGATATTTAAAGAGATCCTTAGTCATGACATTTGGGTATGAAATGACTCACTTTTGGGAAACAGAGGTAGGTGGGACCCAACCTCACCAATCAACCTTTTAGAGGTGTGCCTGCCCTTTAATAAAAAAGATTTATTTTATCCTTAGTGTGGAAGTGTGTGGTGTATGCCACATGTGAGACTGTGCCAATAACTCAGAAAAGGGTGCCAGATTTATTCAGGACTAGAGTTAAAGGTGGTCCCAATGTGGGTTCTGGGATTTGAACTCTGGTCCTCAGGAAAAGCAACAAGCACTCTAAACTATGGAGCCACCTCCCCAACTCAACTATGCCCTCTCTTCTTACCTGGTATCTCAGAAAAGCACCTAGAAGGGCATCCTTGCTTCTTTGGAAACTCAGAACAGGAAGGTGAGGTGGGAGAAGATGCTTCTCTTACTTGTGTGAGGATGAGGAAGCAGAAGTGTAGGATGGCCAAGCGGTGTCCCCATGCGCCTCTAGTAGAATAGTGGAACTATGGGGAAAATACAGTGATTGGGTACGGAGGGAATTCTGGGGATAGTTGGCATCCCAGGCTGGAACTATGCAGTATACCAGATACCAGCGAGCCTGTGCTTAGAAGCACAGAGTGGTTTCCAAATCCTGTGGTTTCCAAGTTGGGCACCTCTTCTCACAAGACAGGGCTTGGAACTCAGACTGCCAGTCTCATCCCTGCCATTTCTAGTTGGATAAGATTGAAGGAGTCTCCTCAATGTTTGTATTAGTTGTCTTGTTACTGGGACCAAATCCACAGCAAGAAGCAAACTAAGAGAGGAAGGCTTATCTGGCTCACAGTTTGCGACCACCATGATGGGGGAAAGCCTGGCAATGTGTGAGGCAGCTGGTCCTATTCCATCCAAGTCACAGAGGGAGAGGAACGCTGCAGATCATCTTTGTTTTTTTTTTTATTTTTAAAATCTTTTCTCCAAAGTCTGGGACTGCAGGTCCATGGGACAATTCCATCCATACTCAAGAGGGGTTCTCCCTCTTCCATTAAGCCTTCTGGAGACACTTTATCGACAGAGACATGCTTCAAGTGTGGTCAAGTACACAGTGCAGAACCATAACTCTTGCTGAAGCTTCCATTTCAATATGCCACATGAAGTCTCTTGGATGATAACCTACTACTACCAGACCAGTCTTACGTGAAATTCTACAAAGACTGAATATTTGGGGCTTAAATAGACTGTCTGGGAGGATTAACAGAATCATTGCGGTATACAGGCTTCAAAGAAGTCTGGAAAATAGTGTAGTAAAGAAAATCAATTATTATTAAAGGCTAAAAGCACAGCCTCTGGCGTCAGATTGAGCTGGGCATGAAGCTCAGCTTTTAATTGCATGACCTTGGGGGAGGAATTAAATCCTGACTCAGTTTTTCTACCTGAGAAATGGAGACAATAATGCATATTTCATATGACTGTTGTAAGGGTTAAATCAATCATGACTCAAGAGGGACTTAGCTCTGGGTCTAGTTCATTATAATTGTCCATCAGACGGTTGATGCTGTTGGCACTTCTGCCAGGTCGTAAACTGAGGCCTGCTCTTGCATCTTGGTGGGACATTGTCCTGGATATAATGGGTTCAAAGATAAGACATATTCCATTCCTGAACGACATCACAATCCAATTCATCCTCTGACCTCATTGCCTAACATGCGTCTCTTTTCTCTATTTATCACACCTACTTAAACAGTAGGGCTAGGGCCTCTAATGTAACTTTTATACAGCAGAGCCATCCCTGCACATCTTTGTCTCCTTCACAGGGCATCTCCATTTCCCCAGGGGTCAGTGAGCCACCCAAGGAGCTGAGATGCATCAGTGTGTTGGTTAGTGAACACAGGTGTGGCACAACTGGTGTTTATCCTCTGTGTTGTCACTGGAACACATTGATAATTCTGACTCAAACTCCTGGGACCAGACTTCAGAATGCTCCCCAACACTAATATCTAGATAGACTTTACTGGTGACTTAGAGCTGGCAGTACTTGTAAATATCCATTTCCACCGACTCCTACAGGGTGCCTCTGTACCTAGTGGTGTTATCCCTTCATTTGCAAAAGGAGAGCCGGCCGAAGAGATTCTAGAATCTGTACATCTAGGCACCCCTACAGCCACAGCTGAAGGGATTGCTATGCTTCCATGTCCCTTAGGCAGCATCTCCGACTCTGGGAGGTAGTGGCTCACATTCTGAGTTCCAATTCAGCCTTGCTGACAATACTGTGTTACCTTGGAGAGACTCCCTTAACCTCTCTGTACCCAATACTTCTCTGAACACAGTGGCACCAATCACCATCTGCGTGTATGGAGGGACTTCAGAGACCTTGACAGTCTACATCCATTTCCAAAAGTCCAGTGAACAGCGAAAGAGTCAAATAATTACAGAGATAATGGGAAATATGATAATGAGATCAATCTGTCTCTGTGGCATTACCCAGGACCTCACTAAAACCATTCAAATTATGAGATTCTTTATTTCCTCATACAGGGGTTTAGGGGGAATGAAAAGTCAAACCAGTACTACCCAGAGTTTCCTGATCACCACCTCTTGAAAATTCTACTGTGTCCAATCTGAATCCCACCTCTGCTGCCCATCCTCTTCTAGACCCTAAATGTCCTTGAATGAACATGGATGAGCCAGGAGCCTCCTGTCCCTGATTGTGTAGTCTCCTGTTTGTCTCTTCTCTGTGTCACCAATGTCTGGTACAGTGCTGGGACACAGTAGGAATTCTGG